AGCTATTTTATACTACTTCTCTCCCAGACAAAAATATTTTGGAGAATTATATTAAATAGCATATCTCACTTTATGCTTTCTTTTGGTTATCTAAACAAGAAATACGTGTGTTTGGTATGGTATCCGATATATTTGAAATACATAAACATAATCAAAAACATAGAAATAAGATGTATACGTTTCCTATATTACTTATTACAAATGTACAAAGTTGTATAAAATATTATTGGCAAATCTTTTTTTAATACTATTTAATAGGTTTTTAATACCCATTGCACAGCAAACTTCCAAATCACTCAAATGCAAAAGAACTACAAACACTCCGTTAGTAACATAGACATATTTTACCTTGATGCCATCCTGTAACATTCTACCAATGAAATTAATTTTACTTACCTTTAAAAAGATTTTTGAACACCCTTTAAACCAACAAACTATACAGTACAAGGATAACGCAATGTTATTAATGCAAGCTAAAAGGGACTAATTACAGTTCTTATATTGCTAGGCACTTCATCGTTTACTAAGCTTAATATTTAACTATATCCTGTTTTCAATCAGGCTGTAGATATGCTCTCAAATTATCTTAAAAATAGAACGCAAACTGTAAATTATCTAACAAAGAAACTTCCACAAGATACTATAATGCTATTTACAAAACTCCTTCGTTGGTTAGTTAAGTTAAGCTCTGAAGAAGCCAACAGGATGATTGGCGAAACGTCAGTTTCATTCAAAAACAACCGACTCAGCAGAAATCCAGAAGTTTTGTAAATAAAATTTAAATTATAGACATCAAATATCTGAATTCTTGCTTTTGAAAAGGTTCCACAGGATTCCGGACTAAAATCTAAACTATTTTGTATTTATACTTGAAATTTTCCATCTTCCCTCATATTCTTAGCATTTTTTTGCATATGATACACAGGTATATGTTTCGTTTAAACCGGAAGAAGCTCAGCAAGTAGTGGCAGGAACTTAAAAACTTAAAAATTATATTTCAAAATAAAAATTTTATTTTCTTTAAAAATACTTGTCTTCGTAATCCAAATATTAACTATTGCGACAGTCTCTATAATTGTGGCATAACAGTTGCAAATAGTGAACGCATCCCAAAAATGCAAAATTCCTGCCTCCGGCTAACGCATGGAATAAGAAAATCTCAGAGAATTAGTCGCAGAATTAAAGAAACTGGTTGCTTCTGTATGCAACCTAGAAGGTTAATAATTATGTACCACAAAATTGGACACAAACATGCAGTTATGGAGCGTTTATTTTCAGTTGCAATAGCGTACCTCATTAATAGGTATACCCAATTCCTGAGCCGGTCCTAATACAGATTTAAACGACATCTCACGTTACGTAAAATCTAAATTACTATCCTACCCTGTCACATCATAAATCAAAAATATTTCTAAGATTAGTAAAATTTGTTCACATACTATCAGTATCACTACAATCACGTAAAATTCACGCAATTTATTGTTATTCTCTCTTATAAATAACATTATTTTGGTGTCTAAATTACAAGTCAACTCATAAGATTGCTCCACAGACAGCTAGGGACGTTTTCTGGCTGAACATAAACTGGCCTAGATAATTTTCTTTTTTGGATCAATAAAGTGTTATTAAATCTACTACAAAACAAGCTATTGCTATTTTCTCTCCAGTAGCATATCCTTTATAATTAATCATACTGTGATTTGCTGTCCTTTTTCTTATATTATTTATTTAATTATTATCTAGGCATACTAATAGAATATTTATGACTACTGTACAAAATGTAAAGTGAAATTTTTTGTTAAGTACTTAAATAAATAAATGTAGCGGATTTGAAAATATTAATTCTTTTCAAACATATGACCCCATATATATATATATATATATATATATATATATATATATATATATATATATATATATATATATATATATATATATATATATATATATATATATATATATATATATATATATATATATATATATATATATATAAGAATACGCATTTCAGTTTCAGAAAAAAAAAGGGCGGAATAAATTTTAACCTTACGTTTCAAAACTTAATGAAAATTCAAATTTCTACACAACTATTACACAATGTGAAAAAAACATCGTGAATGTTTTGGCATATTAGTGTCCATCTAAACCGCAACAGCATATAAAGCACTTGAAACGTTAATTGACCAATTATTGTTAAACAACATGGCGTCCCGTCGCTATAATTACTGTTAAAACGTCAAGATAATGAGATCTTTAGGAATTATTGCGATAATTTCGGAAACCTTACGACCTAAGCATACCACAATCGCACATCATTTTAAACGGAATTTTAATATCTTCCAGAAGTTTCGATAATATTTATACAGGGTGTTTCATTTCAAACAATAAATTTATCTAGATCTATATAATATACAGGGCTTTCGCAAGCTGCAATTAAAATTTCGGCTTAGTATTTCAGGTCAAATAGCAGCTAACTGAAAATTTTATGGATGTAATTAATATATCGAAATCTACTAGATATAGATAGTAAGCGCTAAGCATAATTGATCAATTCATCAAATAAATTATTTCTCAAATCAAATTAATTATGTTTAATGTTTAATGTTAATGACTCAAATTATCAAATCAGTGCGTCCAAACTTTTTTTGCCGATGATTTAAGATTATTTTTAATTTTTAAGACTTAACCTTGAGAATATTAAGGTTTAGCACAAAGAATCGTGTTTTACAAGATAGAGTTCAATTATTCTTTGTAGAACCCTCTTGTTAGCACAAAGTCATTATATTTGGCATTCAATGATCACAGGAAGCTAAACATACATCTAAAGGCTACGGATTTATTGTTATAAACAATGCAAGGTTTTCCAAATATTAATACATCGAAAAGTCGGTTCTTCTCTTATGTAAGGGCAAATTGATGTGTTGTTCAGTGGTTTGGTGTCATTCCTATGGACTTAATGGACATAAAACATTCTAAAACATCCAAAGAAACTTTTTAAAGAATGCCTGACAAAGAACGTGCCTCGGTATTTGTTTCTTTTTACTGTAATAGAGCTAGGACAAATCTTTCTCTTAAGTCAGTTATGTGGCACAATTTTAATATCGTGTCTGTAGCGTTTGCTTTTTTACCAGAGACAGAGTGTTACGTTTATTAAGGCGAAGACCAAGGAACTCCTAAACTTCAATTCATCGTCATCCTTTGCATTTTTTTCTCCGTTTATTTGTTTCGATCTACAGACTTAAGACCATTCATGTCATTCCTTTCTTTATTTTGTTATTTTGTTTTTATTTTTTTAATTTTCTGTACTGCTAAAGCTTTTTTTGATGTTTTTATTTGTGTAACTGTATTGTTATATTTATATATTCATTTCATTGTGTCCTATTAATTAAATTAAAAATTTAGGACAATAGAGCACTAGATATTAATAGTAGGAGTAATAATAATAATATTGCATAAGTCACATTAAAACAGGGTCCATTGTCAGAATCCGCAACGTTCAAAATATTTTAGTTGGATAGAGCAGGCTCTAAAACCTAAGGATTTAAATTTTCAAAAGAACCTCGGTAAACGCGTCTAACTAACCATCGATCATCAATCCACCCTTTATAATAATAAAAATAATAATACGTTTTTCAACTCACAAGAAAAACGGGGTTAAACAAACATGCTGTTGCAGTAAATTGGTTAACTGGCCCTTATTTCAGATTTCTTATGAGACGAACTCACCAATGATGTTGAGACCTGGAACATAATAATACAAAAATAGTTGAACCTACGCATCAGATCAGAAAATAAAAACTGGATTTTTATCTCGAATTATTTTGGTCACCGCATATTAACTAAAAGTAAATGCTTTAAGGCATAAAATAAGGTAACACGCATTGATTTGCACAAATTTACCGGCTTATGCAGCAAATCTGTGCTCGTAATGACCATAAATAATAAATAATACAAATCCGGTTGGCTTGGGTGCCCCAAGGAACGGTACCGGGACCCCGCTGAGCGAGCTGCTTGAGCCGAACATTAGCGGGCATTTATTTACGATTTCTCGTTGTCGTTGGTAATGTAAGTCTACGCGCATGAGTACATAATCTATTTTTTATTGTCTAAAGAATGTATGAACGTCATTAATTTTTATCATTTGCGGAGCACCGATTGTTGACCATAAATCTCCGAATACACTTACGGCAAAATTCAAATAATTATTACAAACAAGCCATAGAAAATCACATTTTACTTTTTATTATCTGACGTTCGAAAAAAGTTCTTATATCTTATATTTTTTGTAGGTTTTACTAGCTACAAGTGTAAATGTAATAAAATTAGTTTTTTTTTAAATGTTTTGTAATAGAATTTCCTGAAATCGTGAACAATTTATTGGTAAATTGTTAAATGTAATCTAAAAATATAGCAAAAATGAACAGTAGTATTTTTTGCTCAGATAAGCAACTTAGATCATTGGGTATGTGGGGAAACCCCTCTTACATGTCGATTCTAGTTCTTGCAACATTTTTCTCGTAATTGTTGATCATTGCTAAAGGAATAATTAAAATTCCACCAAAATTATCAAGCGAAATTATTAAATATCACAGTAGTTTTACTGGAAAACTATATACAGCCTGTTTACGGAATATTAACCACATTATTTATCTACTAATCGTCTAAGCATGATTAAAGATATATCCAAAATTTCAGCAAAATACGAGGTCTGTAAGTTAAGTAATTGCAATTACAATTGTATATTAACAACCCCGACATATATAGACCTCGCAACTTAACTTCACAGTAACTTTACAAAAATATCAGCGTAATTACTTACAATAAGCCTTTCAGGTAGATGTACAGTTGTTGAAAAAAAGTAAATTTACCACTACAGTGTAAAATTGCGAAAACATTTGCTGTCATAACATATCCAATCATATTTGCTGTAAAATGACGATGTTTGAGTGCAATAGATAGGGAAAAATGTCAATTTAGTAAACATTTTTGTTTTGTTGCAGATTGTTACACCGTTGTATTCGCGATGGCATTGAAACACAAGATGGATAGATTCAAAAAACCAGTGATGCGAGATTTGAACCCGGCGATCACCTGCAGATTGTGCGAGGGTTACTTTATAGACGCGACAACCCTGGTGGAATGTCTTCACACGTGTAAGTTTGAAGTTTGTTTGTTTGAGTAGATAACTATATTTGGCTTTCTCACTTATGCAAATTATTTATTTATCTCTATAACATTGTTCCAGTTTGTCGCAGCTGCATCATAAGGTATTTGGAGACGAGCAAAACCCAGTGTCCCATGTGTCCTACCGACAAGAAAAAACCTCAAAATTTCCGGTAGGTATCAACCGTTTATTGACATTCTTTTCTACAAACCAATAAAATCTGTTGTAAACAAAGATATCCACAAAGCGTATCACCTACTTGATCACGAAATATTACTGCGTAAATTACAGAACATTGGATTTTGCAATGATTTATTGATTTTAATGGAATCGTATCTCGACTACAGGCAACTACTCTTTATTAAATATATATGCTAGAGTTTTCGCTGCCAGGTCAGGGAAGAATTTAGTGCCCTTGCTTTTTAAAAATATTCATCGACCATTTATCTATTACATTCAAGTTATCTCATTTGTTGTTTGAGGAGGATAACCTAAAAGTCTTTCTGAACATCGGCAACCAAAATGATTGCGCCTTGCTCATGGTACATCAGTTGTGCACTGCGAAACCTGTTCGACTGTACAATCAACGTGGTGGTTACTTTCATTGAGCAGATATTTAGAATAATGACAAAATAGAAAATGGCTGTTCATCCATACCCCTAAACTTGTTTAAACAACGTTTATAAGGCGTCGATTGGAATATTCTTCATCTCTAGTAAGGTCGTCAATCTACGAATATGTTAAATTATAGGAATATTATTACCCAAGAGAAATTGATCAACTTCCGTTACTCTAACAGGAGTCTTTTAAGCTTAGACGGACTGTCCACGGTATATAAGCTCTTTAATAATTCTATACACTGTCCGTCCTTATTGGAACGGAAATCTATTTTTAATTTCACATTACAATTCACTCAGCGCTGATCCTTTTTTTTTTTAATAAATTTTAGGGCAGAACCAATGTAATGGCCCGTTCTTTAAATATAAAGAATATCTAAAGAATAATAAATTCAATTTGCGTTTTTTTGTTTTTACCCCTTTTCTCTTGTAAGATTTAATTAGTGCGCTGCAATTATCGCTTTGTTCTAATTTACATATTTTCTGTAATTGGGTGTATGCCCTTGGAAAATATAGAAGTACAGTATATATATTATTAAGATATAAGCGTTATTTTTTATGATTTACAGCCCCGATCCGCAAATCCAAAGTCTGGTCTACAAATTGGTGCCGTCCCTGTATTTTAAAGAAATGCAGAGGCGGGAAGACTTCTACAGGAGTACGGGAATGCGAGCGGGTAGCTCGTGTAGTGACGACAGCGTCATCGAGAGAGAAAGGGACATGATGAATGAATCAGAAGAAACGGTAAGAATATTCCTCACGTTCGCCATATTAAGTTAAATAATATGAATTGAACAAATTGTTAATGGGAAACTTCTTTTTCCAAATTAAGATGAATCGTATAATTGATAACTAATTCAATTATTAGTCTTAAAAAAATTATACTATTACAAAAAGATTATACTACTTGTTTTTTAAGAAAAAATATTTAAAAATTACTCAAAATCCTATGCTTATATTCTCAAGGTTGTAGTTTCAATAATACCCATTAATATGTAAAACAAAAATTACGGAAAAATCAAAATTTTGATTTGGATTCTTGTATTGTTCCGCGGAAAAGATAAAAGGCACTTTGGGAACCCCACTAAATCTGAAAAGTATTTAAAATATCTACATAAAACTATTCGATGTTGGCGTAAACTTTATGTTGTGAAAATAAAAACTTATTTTTAATTTATTAGAGGTGAAGTTCAGTGTCCCACAAGGTACAGTGGCGAGGTCTTTTCTTTTGAATATTCGTAAATGAAATGTTGTCTCTTGTTAACGAGAATTGGTATGAACAGGGATATTTGAGCAATTACAGTTCAAAAAGCTGAACAAACTATAACAAAGATAAAAAAATTGGTTAGATCAATGCAAAAAACAATGCAAACTGAAAATCGCTACTTTGCAAAAAACTTTAAGTTTGGTTTATGTTAAAGTCATCACACTTAAGAGTTAATGTGAGCAAACACTAGCTGTCAAACTGTTGAATTAGCATAAGTTAAGTTGTCTACGACGCCTTGGGTCGCAGTTTATTAAAAAAATTAAAAATCTGGTTAGGTCATTAGTGATATCTAAAGGGATTTACTTTTACTGTTGACAGTTGACAGTATTTACACATTACACAGTATTAAAATAATATATTGTTGTTAAGGTAAGATATAACTGTATACAAAACAGTGCAATCTCAAGAATATTTGCAACAACTTGTTAGAACAGTCTCTTCAAATTATTTTATTATTATTAAAAATGTTATCCCATCTACATACTCTACTGATATTTATTTTGTTTGTTCGAGCAGGCCACCAATATTTTTCAATACTTTAATTGTATTATTTTGTTTGTAGTTCCTTATGTTCATAGCAGATAACCATTTTACCTTGGTGCATAACTTACGTTTTCATATTTTTCAAAATGTGCATATTTCATAAGCAAACACTCTGTGGGCGATAGCTTAAATCTCGTGTCATAAAATTATACAACAAACTATTGATTATTGATTGATTATTGAGTTGATATGATGCGCTGCAGGAATTCGGACGAAGTTCTTGCGGAAGTTTCTTTGAAATACGGTTATAACGGTTTAAAAATAACTACATTTCCTAATGAATGTGTTTATCCACAAAATAGCAAAAGAAAGTCCATAATATATGTTACATAGAAAGTTTCTGAGTTTTTCCATTCAAATAATGAAGTTGTTCTAGTAGTAGTGTTGTCATTTTAACTTAGATTCTGCTAAACTATCATTGTTGACATGAAATGATAGAACCGTTCAATTCACTAGCAATTTAATAGCGATTGGCAACACTCTTTGAGATATTGACGCGTGCGTAGTGTCAAGATCAAAGAAGAAAGGCAAATCAAGAATATAGGCTACAAGTCGAAATTTTCCTAATACAAATTGAAACATTTGTCCTACACGCATTTTTATTGATTGGAGTTAATTAAAATACTCAAAATGACAACTTTAAAAACACGTTTCAACTCTAGAACTTCCAAAAATTTCCCATTTGTAAGTGTGCTGCACACAATGCTTGGAGGTTGTATGAGAAGAAACCTTCCTTTGCTTTTCCTATAATTTTCTGGATTAACTCTCTTGTCTATATTGTTTTTTTTTAAATACTGTCCCAAGCAATTTAATTAGGTGTTTAAAATGTAGACCAATGATGCAGCTTATTGCATTTTCTACTACTCTATATTCGCGGTACTTTTATCGACGCTTTCAAGTAACAGTCTGGAGCTATAAAAAAATTATCAATACAAAATCACCTGAATAAAAGAAATAATTATTCTGATTGGATGAAGGAAACCGCTTGATCAACCACACGTTGTTCAACGTCGAAGTTATTTGATCTTTCCTTATGGGTTTGTGGTCATCTGGGATCCATGATAATATCCAATAACTCGAAAAAGTTCTCGTTGTCCATAAAATTTTCGAAATTATTTATTTTTTGTGCTGAAAAGATCTAAACTTAGTAACCAGTAATGACAAGGAAGTACGATATTAAGGAAGCAAATGACTTTAGAAATTGAACAAAAAGTTTTATTAAGTTAATCGGCATAGACAAAATACTGGAAATAATTTTCGCGTTACTGAAACACTCACCGTGATAGTGATAGTTGCAGTGGAGCTGAGAAGAATTGAAATCTCTGCCTGAAACTGGGGGGTGTTCAAAGATGTTCTTGAAATATTGTCTATATCTCCAAAACGGCTTAACGCAATTTAAAGTCTTTAAAAAGGATTTTTCCTAAGCTATCAATCGTGCTATGAGTGACGCGATTCTGATTGCTTACCTTGCCACCAGTTTTGAATTTTATTATTTACTAAAATATTTAGTTAGTAGTAATTTTTATTGAACTAATCAGTATTTTCAAGGCTCGAAATTACGTTGAGTTTAAATGTAATAAATATTTAACAAATTAAAAGTAATTAAAACGGTAAAAAACTTTGAGAAGCATCTAGAAAGATAAGTAGGTTTGGTCAGGTAAAAAAAAATTGTTTTCACGACAATCTTGAAAATTATAAGCCAATTATTTCCGTCATGTTAAATGATTTTCCATATTTTACGATTTAATACATCAACAATCAGCGAGCTATTGATTAAAAGTAATTTTAATGGAAAAGTGAGTAATAATACCAAATATTTAAAAACAGTCAAAACGTAAAAATGGCAACTACATAGTAATTTGACGCTCTTAGAAGGGATTGTGAAGAAAGTAAAGATAAAAATAAGATTTTATTTTTATTTTAAATATCATTATGAATCCGAAATAATACATTTGCGTTTTATTTGATAAATGAGAGATAATTAGACATTCTTGAATGTAGAAATTTTTCCCAAAATCCAACTTTTTTGAGCGTTAGGTTCTTCTAGCGGTAATTAATGATATGCGGTTTTCACTGAGATGTTGTGCCCTTATTTGACTATTTAATGACTTAGACTCATATTTTTTCGCGATAATATCAGAAAAATCCCCCTCCACCGAAAAAAGGTCACTGAAAATATCAATATTACTTCGGTAAAAATTACTTAACTTAATTTTTTATATTTTTCTTTAATTTTTATTTTCTATTGCAATTTTACAGAAAATCTGAAAAGTTTGGGGGGAGGGATCTAAAATGACAATTTTATCATGGAATATTTATATTTAAAAACTTTTACATCGTTTGTTGTAAAAGTCCAAAGGAACTTTGTACAATTCCAATCGAATTTTGTTGTGCATATTTTGTTAAACCTGAAGTGGTTAATATGAAAAGCGACCCGGACTTGTTAACAAACTTCAAAGTCCCATTTAGTTTTTTATTTTGTTTTAAACTTGGCTCAACCGAAAAAAAAAATGTCACCACCTTTAGAATTTATCCAATAACGTTTTCTAAAAATCAATCCCGATCAAGGCAAAGGTGTCTACCTCAAGAAAAAGGGTGTTTACTCTTATGAAAAAGTTGAAGAATAAAAATTAAAATCGTCTTTGACGTCATAAAAAAAACAGGATTTAATGCTTAAATACCGTGAAATTATCTAGAATATTTTGTTGATTTTTAAGATATCGTTAGTTTCTAAAATGTGATAATGTTCCTGTTTTTCATGGTATTATAGGAGTGTCACAAAAAAACTGGAAGAATTTTTAAGATTTGCAAGTGGGTAGAATTTGGAAAGCATTTGTTTCTATTTTTTGTAATGGGACCATCAATCTAGTATATTGTAATAAAAAAATAAGCTGAACTTGAATAACAAATGGTTTTGTTATGTTTTGATTCTTGTTTTTATAGGTATATTTATTTGAATATAAAAAATTATAAATAAGAATTACAAGTATTATTTACTAAAATATCCTGAGAGAAGGCAACTTACAGATTTAAAAATTTTAAAAGCCATTACCTGGAAGAAAAGATAAAAATTAAATTTTTGTTTTGTAGATTCTCAAAATAATATTAGCAAAATTTAACAGGTTTATATTCAATTGTATAAAATATATATAAATAAGTAAAACCAAAATGCATGTTTTGTAATTTTTTAGTAAATAAATGTAAAAAACTGTTACAAATACAGAACTTATCATGTAAATTGTTTTTACTATTTGTTTGCAATTCTCCCTATTATGTTATGGATCCAAAATTGTCTACAATATATTACAAATTCGTTTTATCAGTTTGGTGGCAAGGTGAGCAATCACAATCTCATCAATCATATCACTATATAGACTAGGAATAGCTTGTTTATTAACAAGAGAGTATGTGTATGTATGATGTATGTATGTATGCATGTATTTATGTTGGTATGTATGTATGTATGTAGGTATGTATGTATGTATGTATCTATGTATGTAAACGTTTGTAGTTATAATTTTCGAAATTCATGTTGTTTTTCAGATCGCCCAGTGCGTCGGCGACAAGGCGCAGTACCTCAGCCCGGAAGACTCGATATCGCTCTCACTGGAGTACTACCAGGTCCATTTGGACGATACCGACATCAAACCGGACAAAAAACCGTCCGCGGAACAGACTCAAACTCAAATTTCGGATGGTAAAGACGACGGTAACTGTGTGAAGGACAAAAACGTCAAAAGTAACGGAGTGATCGCGAGTGACGACAAACACTGCCGCGGTGATAAAAGGTACCTCAGCTGTCCCGCAGCGGTTAACATGAAACATTTGCAAAAATTTATCAGGATGAAACACGGTTTGACCAGCGACCATCGGGTAAGCATTTGCCTTTTGCTTCGCCGCCGAATGATACCGATAACGGTTATCTGTCACTTTCAGGTCGATATAATATACAAGGGGGAGGTTTTAACGACCGATTTCAGCCTGATGGACGTCGCTTATACGTTTAAGTGGGAGAGGGTAAGTTACTTTCGTCATCCTCTCGTTACGTAGCGCACTGCTGCATATTATCTCATAAGTATCTCACCGTATTTAGCTTTCATATTTTCATTGGAACGCTCGGTATATTCCTCCATTTTTTGGTTTTGGAGTACATTTAATGGGTTCATGTTCTATTACCTATTAGAGATTCAAGACAACTGCAGAAAATTTACGTGGAATCTGGACAAAAATGGAATCCAACATACTACACTCTGCAAAAGGAAGTCTAGGAGTGCAATATTCCAGCAATAAGACTCAACTATCAGCAACATAAAGACACAACTTTATAAATTCTAAGATAAGAAACCTGAAAAAAGAAAATTGGAACCAGTATACCAAAAAGATGGAACACGACCTTTATGTAAATTAAAGTTTGTAAAATACTCGAAGCAAGAAAAACCTATTAATGAACATAAAAATCTTAATAAAATAGAACGAGGGAAATGGATAGCTTACATACATTACATAAATACACGTGTAGAGGAAGAGCGACAATAAACGAAACATTGGAATCAGAAAAGAAGAATTCAGAATTTGCATTGGGAATTAAAAAAAGTGACAAGAACCAGGGCCCGACGGCATACCCAACGAACTCTTAAAATATGGAGGAGAAACCATAATGGATAATATCGCTGTACTTTTTCAGAAAATTTTAGATACCAAGCGTGTACCAGAACTATGGAAAACGAATATTGCAATACTAATATATAAAAAAGGCAATAAAAAGAATCGTAGTAATTACAGTACCATCACCTTACTTAACACAACATTCAAATTGCTAACGAGGGTAGTCGCCAATAAGAATATACTGTTAGTGAAGATCAACCTATAAAGCCGGTCAACAATAGATGCTATTTTCATAATCGGAGAAATCGCTGAGAAAGCAATTGCATATAACAATCCGGCTTGTTCTTTATAGAATTGACTAAAGCCTTTAATTGTGTCAGATTAAAAGACTAAAAGAAGAAAATCAGTCCAGCAGAATGGTGAAGATTAAAGACATTAACACTAACCACAGAACAAAAATTAAAGTCGAAAATGAATTAACGTTGGAAGTAGCTATCAAATGTGGAATACGTCAGGGAGATTGCGTAAGCCCACTCTTATTCAACTTAATAGTGGATAAAATTACAGGAGAAATAAAAGAGATAGGACACTTATACGGGGTCGGGGGAAAACAAATAAAAATCCTGTGTTATGCAGACGATGCAATCTTGATCTCAGATAATCTATAGCGCATACTCGCATGTACAGTGGCGGAAACCCACATCTAAGACCAGATCTTTAGTAGTAGCGGGGCAATCCACACGATGCAAAATCGCAATTAATGATGAAATAATCGAATTAGTCTCCAGGTTGGAATATCTGGGAATAGAAATTTCCAGCTACGGAGACTTAAAAGAAAGTGTACGGAAGCAAGCAAATAAAGGAAACAAAAATTTGAGATTGGATGAGAAAGTACGTATAGTGAAAGACTGATACTGACATACTCAATGGAAACGAGTGTCGACACAGCAGAAACGAAAAAGAACAACCTAAATGAGAACATTGAGACCAAGAGCAGGGAAAACGTTAAGAGACACAGAATCCCGAACAATCAAATAAGAGACCTTTATAAGGGACAGGATAGTATATGGATGGGGGGGCAGGATAGCATATGGATGGGAAGACAGCGATAGACTAACCCGTACAGCGAGCAGCAGACAACCAGGAAGTTCCTTTAAAAAATAGCGATAGCTGGCAGTCACATCAAAAATATTGCTGCAGCTTCAGAAAAAAAAGATCAGACAAGAACAGGCCATAGACAATATAAAAAGAAGAAGATGAAGATTAACGTTTTGTTATACTTAATTTCAATAGATTCTTAAATATCTTGATTAATTATTATTATTTTAAATAATGCATCAAGCGTAGAATCGCTCTTTCGAAATTTATATTGAAAATTATGTATCGCTTACTAGGTTCTCAAAATTTACCAATCATGTACACCAATTTCAAGGATGCAAATTTCGTTTTTTGAAATACGACTCTCTATACGTTATTATATGATGTGATGCATTTATGCTATTATGACCGAGTTTCTGGCTATTTCGTATTTTCTATGAAAACCCCAAAATTCGTTCTGGTTAGCATTGAGTTTGGCACAGGTTTTTCGTTTTATTTACTTAAATAAATTAAGAAAGTCTGGAATCGGCCATCCAGACCACCCGATTTGCAGCCATTGGATTTTCGACTCCGTGGCTATGTAAAAGACCTATCGCTTACTCTTTCTAGGCCTATTGAACTTAGAGGCGAATTAATTTGTTGTTTTTTGTAGTGACGATGCCTTCACTACCTCAGATCTAGAACTATATCGAAGGTTCATTACAATACTAGCGTGTATTCACGACAATGCAACAAAAATGTTGTCAAATAAAAGCAGTTATTTGTTAGGTTCTAAATTAATTTTTCTCGTTTTGGCTGCATGCGCTAATTAAACTGCATTTTTGTCGTTTACCATTTTCGTTTTATTTCTTAAATTATCGTTCAGCATCAGTCAGAGATGACATTAAAATAGGAAATAATAGGAGAAACAAGATAACGGTTCTTCTGCATTCTGTTTGTAATAAATCAATTGCAATTGCCATTCTTGTGCTTCCGTGTATGACATAAGTGTTTGTCAACAGTTCAAAATTTTTGAAGTAATTAAGATATCTAAGAAACTAGTGAAATTCGAAATTATGTAATATACAGACAGATTAAAATATAGTAAAGGAGTCAAGTGCTGTGAGATACTTATAAGATGGTCTTGCTTTTGATAGAAAGTTTCTAAATTAACTGTTTAGTTCCTTTTCCATAGCGAGACATTGACATTCTTTAAAATATATCTTAAGGTTCACATAGCGGTCCTGATGTTCTCTTGTAATGTTTATCTATGTATTTATTCATGGTATTGAAATTTGTTTGCTTTGCAACGATTTTGCTATTTTCCGATGATTTCAAAGATTTTAACTCCGATATAAATTTAATATACCGCTATTCGCCAATAAATACTTTGAATTTAAATATTAAAAATTGCATTTGTATAAGTATGCCTATAAAAAGGGTGAATAAAATTAAAGATTTGGGGGTCTCGCTTGATTATAAACTAACTTTCTCGAATCCTATAAATGATGTAACAGCTAAGACCTATGAAGCTTAGGTTTTATAAGTAGCTTTAGCATCGATTTATCTTCATTTTGTCTTGCGCTTTCGTCCTGTGAGTATTGGTATCTGCTAACCACGTTTGATCTTCTTTTTATAAAACCCATACCCAAGCTAGAAAATGTTCAGAAAAAAAATTCTGCGTGTAGTTGAAAAATGCCCAAAGTTAGTAAGATTACGATGCTGTTATTAACATGCAGGATTAACTTTATCCTTATTTTTAGTGATACTAAGTACAGCTTAGTTAAGTTTTTGGAAGTATCAAATAATATTAAAAAAATAAATAATCGTTGCTTCAGCTTCTAAAAATATGCATTTAAAAAAAAAACTGTGTCATAGTTTTAGTTATTTTCATTTGGAATAGTGACAATGCCAGTGGCGTGTGTCTTTCAGCGTATACAGTGTGTCCCACAAAGTATTCTACAAATGGAGAAAGGGTTTGCCTTAGGCTCGGTCTTATATTTCACAAACAACAAATATTAAAAAATATGAATTTGAGTTAAGATATCCAAATTTTTAGAAATATTAGTTGTTAATTATTAAACAATAGTTTAGAAATGTTAAAGGGCCACTACTGCAACGGAATGGTTAAGAGCTCACTATCTTTTTATCCCCGAATATCCATAGAGATGATTGCCCTATAACTGCAAACTATAAAGATAGACTTCCAAGTATACAGCGTTACACGTCAACCAATTACAAAAAAAAAACTAAAAGACTGCATTTTATTGGACTTCCTCCGATCTATCTAAAGTCATGTGGTATTAATTTTAATGGATTTTTAATTGGATTCGAGTCTAGGCTGGTACTGACTAGTAGCTATCGAAAGAGGGTAGTCAAAATACACAAGGTGTTTACCACATCGATAGAATTTTTTTTAACCCTATTTTCTTTCCAATAATTTATTATTATATTTTGAGGTGACAGACGTGCTTCGCTTTTTTTGTAAGAAGGGGGCATTTCAAAATTATTATTATGCAAGATCTATGGAAAAATACAAAAAATATTTGTGTAAAATTTTGGTTGGTGTCGCACTTGCATTTCTGTAGTTAGTATATCTTTTGGCAACTGCCGAACCGACAAGGCAAATCTTAGGGCTTGAGCGGAGCTCACCTTTATGTTTTTGTTTGTGGAATAACTTTCTCGTTCTTTCAAATTCGCGTTTCATTCTTCCACCATTCGGTGAAGAGGAGTGACATAGCAACAAATCTTCATTTCCAAAATTTTCTTTCTGGTGGAATTTTGTTGTAAAAATAAATAAGAACGAAAAGTTCAATTATTGTCATGTAAAAATATATAATTTCGTGAAAATCTGAACTTTTAGTTCTTATTTATTTCGATAAATGGATTTTCATCAAGTAAAAGCCACCTCAGTTCAATTTTGTTGTACATTTTTGACCTTGTGCTGTGGTGGTTTGTATTTTTGTCTGCTTGGTCTCGACCAAGCATTAGGCAGCAATTTCGCGCGTTTAAAATTCGGTCTATATATACTATACAGCCTATACTTAATTAATTAAGGACTCTTTTAATTTTGAAAGCTTGTTATATTTCGCTGTCTAATTATGCTAATATCAATGTATCATTAGTATAGGCAAACAAGCGGAACGTTGAGACCTTGAAATGCGAGATTACACGGTAACATAAACACATACACACACACGGAATACGAGCGACTTGACGACTGAATATTCGCCTTCTTACAATCGAAACGAAACCGCAACGATGCTTATGCGCGTTCATTTTTTTGCACGCCGGTCGATTAATTGCTGTTAATTAAATTTAATGGGCTCATATTG